GGGCAACTGCCCCGTTGCCTCCCTCCCCCCCAGATCCGCCACTGTACTGTGGTAACATGAATGATAGTCTGTGGGAATATATTTTACCATTTGTTCTCTCTGTTCCTTCCAACTTGACACTTTACAACGCCTCTCATCAGGACTAGTTTCTTCCACAGTTTCAACAGATGAGTTCCCAAGGATCCATTCCCGTGGAAGAAGTCGCCTCCCAGACACCGGCTGTTCGTCTGTCTGGTTGTGTTGCTTCAGTTAGTTCATTTTGATTTGTTTCATTGACTATTGGCTTCGGCATCAACAAGAAAGAGGAGTGGATTAGGGTCACATGGGAGTATATGCAATGTGGACTGCTCTCATTGCCTAAGATGTTATGATGTGATGGTTAACCCTCCGAGGGTATTTGTTTTGTTTTTCTTTTCTATGAATATCTTAATATCCTTTCTTTGCTGCTGAGAAATAAAAGAAAGACATAAACCTAATATTCGCCTTTGTGTCCTTAATAAAATCATGACTTTATGTCATGTAATTTGTAAAATCTGATAATTATCGATAAAATTAAGCTTATATTTATTGGTACCTACAACAAATGCAATACAGACATACAGACTGCTGAATACGCACACACCGACTGCTGAGTACACACAGACAGATTGCAAAATACATACACAGTCCACTAAATACACACACAAAGAGACTGCTGAATACACACACACAAACTGCTAAACACGCACAGACTGCAGTTAGGGGTGCAGTGTGTGTATGCATGTGTGTGTGTGTGGGGGGGTGCAGTATATGTGTGTTACAGTGTGTGTGATGTGTACGAGGGGTGTTGTGTGTGTGGAAAATGCTGTGTGTGTGACAGGTGCTGTGTGTGAGGGGTGCTTTGTGTGTGACAGGTGCTGTGTGTGTGAGGGGTGCTGTGTGTGAGAGGTGCTGTGTGTGTGTGTGTGAGGCGCTGTGTGTGAGGGGTACTGTGTGTGTGAGAAGCACTGTGTGTGAAGGGTGCTGTGTGTGTGTTGCAGAGTGTGGGGGGTGCATGGAGCAAATGTTTTCTTGTTTGTTTGTTTTTAAATATTAAATCTACATTAATAAAACCTGCAAAACCTGCAACCTGCAAACCAGCCCCCTCCCCCCCAAAAAACTTTTCTTCTTACCTTTAATGAAGGAGGTGGGGGCGAATACTGCCAGCCCTTGTGGTCCGGTGGTGATCTACATAGCTTGCAGCTCCTCTGGCTGCAGGCTGTCTCCTGTCCTTCCAAGCTGAGTGGAGTGTTGCTATGGCAATGTGCAGCAATACTTCACACAGCCTGCTTGCGGGAAGAGCAATCTCTTCCCAGGCCCCTCCTCGTGCCTCCGGGTCCTCCCACCGTCTCTCCACGCTATCAAAGGGCCTTTGGGCCGGTGTGAGAGATCTTTGATCTCCCCACAGGCCCAACAGGGCCCATGGCAAGAGAGCAGGGCCGGCAGGGGAAATCAAAGGATCTTCCCTGTCGTTCTGGGCACGCTGGGCAGCGCGGTGGGGCCCCCGGGCAACTGCCCAGCATTCACATGGGAAAATACGGCCCTGTGTAGGGTTAAGGGACACGGGGCATTGCACCCAGACCACTTCAATGAGCTGAAGTGGTCTGGGTGCCTACAATGTCCCTTTAAATCTACTTCGAGTCATCTGCGATAAAATCCCAGGATGACATGGTGGTATCCACTAAAATGGTTGCCTTTTGGTAGTATCCTATCATGAAAAGGGGTGCTTAGATTTAGTAGGAGGCAAATATAGCAAGCACTACAATTCTATTCACTTGTTTTTTGGTAGCTGCCAAATACATCATTAGGAAAAGCAAGGGAGGTTTCTTCTCCATAATCCATAAATTAGCAAATCTGATCATTGAAAGCTAAATGCTTCAGATCATCTGTAATAATACTCTGAAAACTATGTTTAAGCTATTGTAAGAATTCACCTTGAACTATAATCCCTGGATCACGATGTAATACCTTGTAACGCGCTTCACTCTGCAATTAACAGAAAACTTCCTGTCATGTTCATTTATATATTAATCATTACAAAAATCCCTCCCTTTGTTCTTCTTTGTTTATGACACACTTTTATCCTTTTGCAAGTTTAACAATGGGCTTTTTCTTTGACGGACATATTGTATACATTTTTCATTACAAGTGGCTCATTTCCCACAACCTAAAATTCCCCATTATTACCCGATTTATTGAAAAACAAACATTTGTTTTAAAAAAACAAAAATTACCTTTTAGTGGTTGTTGTGCAAAGAATTTATTGGTTAAATTACCTAGGTTCACCTGGAGAAATATGCATCAAGGCTCTTTAAAGAGACACTCCATTACCCAAATACAAACTAAATTAGATCACCTTTTACTAGATGTAGCCCAAATGAAAGCTTGCATGCATTTAATTATGGATTTATTCTTTGGTGGTATATCTAAAAACCTTGCAAAAGCTGTAGTTCTCTTGTCTGCAGGCTTTGCGAGCCCTGCCTTTTTAACTACGCTCAGACTTTCTGTGGCTGTCCAATCACAGACTTCCCAATGCAGCTCAATGTGAAGGCTTTGCAAGGCAGGAGCGCTGACCACTTGATGCCACACTGAGCTAACCAAACCAGGAAGTAGCAGGGCCAGTTGTCTGTTTGAAAACCAGGGGATGTAACCAGGTTAATTTATAAAAGTCTAAATTTCTATTGAAATCTGCACTTTTTGAAAAAAGGAAGGAAAAAAAAAAAAAAGGAGGGTGCACTCTCCACACTTAAAGGAACACTATAGGGTCAGGAATATGTATTATTGACTCTATAGTGTTAAAAAAAAAAAAAGTCCTGTTAGCCCCCTGACCTTCAATAAAAGCTTATAAATATTGCCTTTATTCCAGCGCTGTGCGGGACTGCTGGCACAGTCTCCACTCTCGATCCACTTCCATGGCTGAAATCATCAGAATGGACGATCTCAGTAAATCCAATGCTTTCCTGTAGGAAAGCATTGGATTGGCTAAAATAATCAATTCTGATAATCTCAGCCAAGGGGGTGGGATGAGGGGTTGGGGCTCAACACCCCATTGGCCAATCAGTATCTACTCATAAAGCTGCATTGAATCAATGCATCTCTATGGGGAAAATTCAGCATCTCAATGCAGAGTATGGAGTCGTTGAACGTCAGTGCTGCACTGACCCAGGAAGCACCTCTAGTGGCCATCTGAGTGACTGCCGCCGGAGGTATCCCAATAGGCACCAATGTAAACATTGCCTTTTTCTCTGAAACGCAGTGCAGCTCATGAGCCACAGTTTGGCCATATGTGTTATATACGCAGACTTTGAATTTTTAAATACATGCACTTGCCTTTTCTTTTGTGATCCTTCTAACAAGTGCCAATTACTGTGCACCTAGTTAGCAGTATAGGAGCTAAATGCCTCAGTAAAAATAGAACGTGAATAGCCGGTAGCTTTGAAAATGTTAACAGGTTTAGATAGTAGCTTTGTTGTAATACCAAAGTTTAAATCTAGCTGTTTAAAGGGGTAAACATCATAATGAAAGGCATTTTATTGGAGAACATTGGGGACACCTTGTAATGATATAGAGGTAACCAAACAGGTACTGTAATTGGACACCTCTCACAACTGCTTATAGTCTACACACCAGCAAACATTCCTAAAACCAGGTTAGACCTGAAATGCAACTTAAAAAAAATCTATGATCACAAAGATAGAGATCAGGTCTGAAAGTGGACTGTAGCCAACAATTTCCCATTTAGTTCATTATCTGTATTCTATATTAAAAAAATGACAACTTATTTTTCTTTTTTGTTGTTTGTTTAATTTTATCTTCAAATTTGTCCTTATATCTAACAGATAGGTTTGAGATATAGAAAAATAGTTTCCTTATTAAAGGACCACTATAGTGCCAGGAAAACAAACTCGTTTTCCTGGCACTATAGGGTCTTTAGGTCCCCCCCACCCTCAGGGTTCCACACCCACCGGGCTGAAGGGGGATGAAGGGATTAATCACTTACCTTTCTCCAGCGCCGGGCTCCCTCGGCGCTGGGGAAATCTCCTCCCTCTTCTGATGTCAGGGCGCTTTCAATCAGTCCATAGGAAAGCATTTCTCAATGCTTTCCTACGGACGTAAGCGTCTTCTCACTGTGATTTTCAATAAGACATCCACTAGAGGCTGGATTAACCCATATGTAAACAGAGCAGTTTCTCTGGAACTGCTATGTTTACAGCAGCAGGGTTAACCCTAGATGGACCTGGCACCCAGACCACTTCATTGAGCTGAAGTGGTCTGGGTGCCTATAGTGGTCCTTTAAGCCATAGCACCATTGACTTATGAGGCAGATCCTCGCCTCACGGCAAGAAGGACAGGAAATAGAACTGTGAAATGACTATAACTAGTACTCCGATTCAGGCAGTCTGTGTCACTAACTCTGCAATCACCGTAGAAGAATGGTGCAGAATGGCTTGATCAGGAAAAGAGAAAGGATCAGGCAGCATGGTCGTGGAGACATGATTGGGTAGCTTTAAAAGTCAATGGCACAGCAGTACCAGTTTTGTGGAAAATACTTTTGGACAGCTTAGGGCGATTTAGGTAAGGAGTCCACCTTCCTTGCAACTGCTCATCATGGTGGTCAAGCCCCTCCCCCAACAGCTTTTATTGGAAAGCCCCGGATACATCAGAGTAGAATGGAAGAATGAAATCAAACTTCTCAGGTGCGTTTCGTTTTATAGAACACATACATTCCAGTTTATAAAGGCAATCTTGAAATTCAAGTCTCTTCTAGGCAATAGTTCATTTTGGCATCCTGACCATGCATGTCAACGTTTTCTTAGCTGGCTTAAGCAAAAAAACTAGGTGAGCGGCCTCGAAAGAAGATACAATAGTTTGGACTAGATCAATTTATTCTGGTAAACAGCTTATGCACATATTCTTCTTTCAACGTTAATCTTAGCATCCAGGAAAATAAAAAGATTCTTCAGCACAACCCTTATTCAAAACAGGTGTTCTTTATTGAGGTACCAAATAACATTGGTGACGTTTCGGCCTTTATCAAGCATATCTAGCGCAAATAAATAGGCTCAAACTTGAGTAGGAGGGAGGAGTTTGAGCCTCAATTAATAGTGGTTGTCATATAAATGTTTCCAGTACTACGTATAAAGTGCTTAGAATAAAAACGATACATGACTAATTTTATGTAAATCACTAAAATAGCAAGTATATAAAAAGTGCCAAAGAGTACATAAAGTGCAAAATGGAAACGCTACGGTGCTAAAAATGAGACAAAAAAAAAAAAAAAAGGGATTTTCTACTGTATAATATATAAGTACCAAAAAAACATCATACAACCAATGCAGAAATAAGTTAGTGTAACAGTTGGCATTAAAATACTTTGACCGTAATGGAATCCCAGATCAAGCCATGGATTCCAGACTCCCCAGTAATATCTCCAGTCACACATCTATCTAAAATAAAACAAAGAGCAAAAAGTTAATTAAAAAGATACAAAGATTAAAGGAATATTCATAAATCATGCCACAGGGATCAAGGCAATTAAACTCATGTACCCAAAAAAATTCCATGTTCTTTAAAGCTTTCAATTTATCCCCACCTCTTCTTGGTATGGAGTCTTGATCAGTTGACTGACAGTGCAATTGCACTATGACTCATTACGCAATCCTTTATCATTTGAACAGTTTCTCCCACAAGCCTTGCCACAAGGGCACTTTAAAATATAAATGATATAGGTAGAATAAGTCAAAAAGCCCCCAATATGGTATCTTCTGGCATTTTAAGGGTGAGTAAACGATGGGATTCTGATAATATTGCAAGCTGCACACTCTAAACAAGCAAATGTGCCTATTTGTGGCTTATAAAAAAAAACAAAAAACACACAATTAGCCACTTTCCATTCTGCCCAAATTCTGCAGAGAAGTACCCTTTTTAAGGGCTATTACTGGCATGGTATGACACTCTGCCATCTCTGGATGGATTTTCTGAAGAGTTAGCCAGTGCTTTTAAATAACATTAGTACTGAAATTAGAGACAAAGGTAAGACGCTTGTCATGGTTCCTTCTCTTCGGACATGTGTTGCACTTCCTAACCTTTTCTCCTTCAGTTTTAAAGATCTCCATATGATAACCTCTCATATTTAAATTTTGCTATCATATTTTCCAGCCTACGAACTAGGAGATCAGGCACCAATTTCCGATAGATTGCTCCAATTTGTTAATGAATCCGAAAAATTAATGTAAGGACATGGTGCCACCCCATATCACCAACATGCCATCAATGAATCGCAATGTGTTAGCATCCAAACATATAACATATTCCTCAGAGATGCTTATTATGATCTACTGAATCCAAACACTCCTTTATAATAATTAAATGAAATTTTATTTGACAAAAAGGGACAATAAGTGTGATATAAAGGAATTATTGGCTCCTGGGATAGAAGTGATTGAAGTCTCTATTGAAAACAAGGCGTGGATACAAGTGGAGTAAGATGCTATTAAAATGGGCAATCAAAACAAAACTTGGAGTGAACAAGAGCCATTGTGCATATTGCTGGATATTGATGGTACCGTCAGGCTGAGCACTGGATTAAAGCGGCACTGTCAACCCACTAAGAAATTAGTATTTCATAAAGATAAAATTATATTGAAATATTAATATTGACGGTGTTGTAATTTCACTGAAATAGGGAGTAAGCCTCCGACCACTTACCTCATCGGTCCGCATGCATACCGGCGTCATGAGGTCAGAAGAGCTCAAAGCACACATACCTTTTGGCGGCGTCGATATGATAATCACGCCCCCAAATCATATAAAAGCCCAGTCTGCCCTGTTGTGGTTCCTAATGTGGCTTGTGTCTCTAGTGTCCCCTCAGCACATTCCTGTATCCTTTTGATAGTTGTATGGTTTTGACCCGGCTTGCTCTGGACTATTCTGACTTCTGGTTTCCCTGACTCGGCTTCGTTCCTCGCTATTGTGTATTTTTTGGCTTCCCTTGACCTTGGCTCGTTTCTGCCGTTTTTTTATTGTTTCTATTTTATCCGGCTATTCTAAGGACCGGCTTAGGGACTTTCTTTCTGTCTCTATTGTACTGGTGATTTTCACTCTGCGTATTGGGTAAAAGATGTTGTACTCTCTTAATGACGTCTCAGGAACTGAAGAGGAGGAGACAGAAGAAGATGGTGATGCCCGAGAAGAACAGGTTCAGGCGACGTTGCTGGCAGGGGTCTTTGCAAATTCAGCTCATGGGAATATAGTTTATATAAATGAAACCTAGATTGAGTGCACAGTGCAGTAAATAGAGATATTTAAGAGCAGTATTGAGATGTGATAGCACTAACAAAAGAAGCCTATTTACTTTAATGGAATGCATTTTAGGATGGTACTCTTAATTTAATTTTTTTATATATGGATTTAGATTTTTGTTTGGTATAAAATTTGATTGCTTTCAAGTAGAATCTTTGTAGTTGGCAATTTTTGACTACAGATCGTGGAAGGGAGGTGCCGACCAACTAACACACTCAGAAACAGAAGCTGTTAAAGTGAGCCAATATGTTTAGGCTGTGGTGCATTATCCAGTCTCATATTTTTGGACATATTATTCCATATAATTCTCTTTCTAGTGAAAAGAAAGGGTCACACCACAGACTCTGCGGCTGTAAAGGAACAGATCAGTTCATTTAGGATCTGGGCAATGTCCCCTCTACTTTTTAGCAGCTGGGGTGAGCAGTAATATTTTGTTGTGCAAACTTTTTTCCTCCTTGGTATTGTGTTAACACACACCTGAATGCTCCAGACTGGCAAACTACTAAAACTTCTGCTTTTATGGAGGTGGTCACACTTGCTGATGATCAACTAATCAAGGACATTTGATTAGCAGCACCTGTCTGTTACTTGGCCTCTTAATTCCTATGGAAGCAGTAAGGGTGTACTTAGGTTTTGCACATGGCTTCTCCATTTTGGCTTTCTTTTTTCTTAAATAAGCCATGACAGTATAATATACCATGTGTTATTGTTCATCTGAGGTTGTAGTTACCTAATTTTAAGACCTCCTAAAGAAAAATATGATTATTGTTATGTCCTGATATGTAAAACCATAGAATTCAAAGAGTGTATTTTGGTTTTACCATGACTGTACCTGCCTACAGGCCACATTACCTACATTTCAGATGCCTCCAATTTTATTATGCCCACATCATATCACATTGCCTACATTTAATTATGTTTACCTCCATTTAAATTTTGCCAACATTTTATTATTTCCACATCGTCCACATGCCACATACCCAAATTTTAATATGCTCACATCCATTCTATACCCCATTGCCCACATTTACTTAAAGGGAAACTCCAGTGCCAGGAAAACAATGGTTTTCCTGGCACTGCAGGTCCCCTCTCCCTCCCACCCCTCAATCCCCGGTTGCTGAAAGGGTGAAAACATGTCCCACGTCACTGCTTCTTCCTCCGCCGCCGCTCCTCCCTGTGATTGCGGCGGCCGCTGGGTGAGACTGATCCCGCCCACCGGCCAGTGAGACCTAATGTGCATGTGCGGCAATGCCGCGCATGATAATTAGCGCTCCCCATAGGAAAGCATTGAAAATGCTTTTCAATGGGGAAATGAGCGACACTGGAGGTCCTTACACAGCGTAAGGACGTCCAGCGACGCTCTATTAAAAGGTTTTCTGTGCTGTGGACAAGGAAGTGCCTTCTAGTGGCTGTCTAGTAGCTGTCTAGTAGACAGCCACTAGAGGTGGAGTTAACCCTGCAATGTAATTATTGCAATTTATAAAAAACTGCAATAATTACACTTGCAGGGTTAAGAGTAGTGGGAGATGGCACCCGGACCACTCCAATGAGCTCTGTGATTCTTGCCAACACACCAAAATCTCGCGAGAGCTTGGCAGTTTCACAGAGCTTTGTGATGTGCATAAGGGAGAATATGCCATGTGTTACGGAGCTCCTGTACTCCTGAGTACTTCTGCCCACTCAGCTTCATAGCCGCTTGCAGGGCCCTGGAACGCTCCAGCCACAGTAACCAAAGCTTGACTATGGTCCTTCTGAAGATTTTCCAGCCAACCAGGCTGCAGTTCTCCTTCCATGAATATATCGTCCCCTCTGCCTCTTCTGCTGCAGCCCTTCTTCCAGAAAGGGGGAGGCATCCACATCTGCCTGCAATGTTATAGCTCATCTTTATAAAGAGACTGTCACTAGGATCCCTACCAATCCAGACAGGACACAAGTTTCCAAAGGAACTGACATACAGAACTTTATTTTACTTGGGACTAGCCCATATGATCATTACAAAGACATTGCTGTGACAAACATAATAAAATTTAAATAACCAAAACATGTCCCAAACTATACAGGAAAATATAACAAAAACATTTTTATTTTTAAGGGGTGGGGAAGACAATATTAAACACAAAATATCTTTACTGCCTGCAGAAACAGGAATATGCAAATCTACCTGAACATGCAAATTACCCAGCATTGCTATTCAGATACTGCATTGAAAGGATTGATACCAATTCGGTAGCAATCCTCAGCAGTACAGGAGAGCAGGCAAGACCTTTAACAGTATACACACATTATAAACACCCTGCATCTATAATGGGCACAGGGTCACTGAGACATTTAGGAACCATTGTAAAGTGTCCTTCTGCTCCCAGTGATGGAGACTACCATCACACCATGTGCTCCTGACTTGTCTGCAGACGAGGCCTACAGTCTGAATTTGTTGTGTGCACTACAGGCATACCGGGAATGCATGCACACACCTAAGAGGGTACAGTGTTTCTTCAAAATGTGAGTTGGTTATCTTACCCCTTGAATATATAGATTTGGTTTTTCTTTATATATACACATTTTTACATTAAATATTCTATTTTTTTCTGAGCTTTCCCCAAGATCCATAATTGGCATCTCACATTATACACTGACTGATATGGAAATACTGAACAGAATTATATACTATATGACAGTTTTAATAGTCTTTGTCCATTTTATTCCAAATGGACAAAGAGCGGTATGGCTGGGGGTGAAAAATAACGTTTAATTTCTCACTTTTTTTCGATTTTAAATCATATTAAATTATGTTTAATATATAAATAGTTGATGTGAAAGGAAGGCCCCATTTCTCCTGAACCAAATGATATATACTAAGTGTGGGAACACTTAATATAAAAAAAAAAAAAAAAAAGTGGTGAAATTCTAGGTTTTGTTTTGATCAGAACTTGTACAAATGCCTCGGTCCTTTAAGGGGTTAAACCATAAGTATGATGGCTGCCATAAAAAGTCTACATTCATACAGTGAGTTTGAAATCATGCACACATATATAGATCTTGGCAATAATGTGAGAAACATCCGACATGCACTTTCTCATCACTGCTATTTGTTCAGCTCATTAGGGAATTTGCCTCTGAACAGTTCAGAGAGGCTCCGTGCACTTTGCATTCCATAGCAGGGGTTACTAGCACCATTATTATTTTTCATCACCATAACAAAGAAACCAAAACTAGCATGCCGGAAGTGTATATATTATACATATATATCAGTTACACACTGAAAAAGGGAACTGAAATGGAAAATCCTGTTATGGCTGTTTAATGTTGTGATGTTAACATTGGAATAATAAAATAAATATATCTAAACTTCTCAGGATGAACCAATTGCTTTAAAGGAGGGGTCCTCAAACTCCGGCCCCCCAGATGTTGCTGAACTAAAACTCCCATGATTCTTTGAATTACATAGATAGCCAGAGAATCATGGGAGTTTTAGTTCAGCAACATCTGGGAGACCGGAGTTTGAGGACCCCTGCTTTAAAGTGTGACAAAAGACTTCAATCTGCAGCAGGAAAAATAGACAAAAAAACCTAAACAAAAAATTCTTAAGCATGGGAAGGCAACCTTCTTCACTCCAGATGCTGTGGACTACATCTGCCCTGATGCTTTGTCAGCATTATGGGAGATATAGTCCGCAACATCTGGAGTGCCGAAGGTTGCCTACCTCTGCTCTGTAGAAACCACCAGTAATAGACTTTCCTTGACTGGTCATGAAAAGTGTTGATTAGCATGCATCACCACAACTGTTGGAGTAATAACTCTCACCTATTCAGGAAGTGGAAGTTGTAGCCAAACAACTTTTTAGCAGGTAATGTATTTACCTATCTAGCGAAAAATTTCTTCAACAAAGAATCAGCCAGCGCGGGAGGACGCAGGGGGAGTCAGAGTGGGAACTCTGACACCTACCAGCCTGAGCCGCCGCTGGACCCCAGGGAAAGTCACCCTCCTGCGCCTAAAAGGTAGGAAACAGGAGGGTGACAAATATTATGTGTGTTTTTATGTATGTGTGCTTGTCTGTTTGTATGTCGTGTGTGTGTGTGTGTGTGTGTGTGTGTGTGTATGTATGTATGTATGTATGTATGTATGTATGTATGTATGTATGTATGTATGTATGTATGTATGTGTAGGGGGCCCATGGATCATCCGTTTCGCACCAGGGCCCCATGGTTGTGTGTACGCCACTGAACACTACTTTATATGCCAATACTTGTTTAACATCCACAATGTAGGATTGTAAAGCGCTACAGAATATGTTGGCACTTTATAAATGATGATAGTCAAAATAATCATATGAATATCATACAGGGTAAAGAGGACACAAATGGTTAAAAATTAGAATAGCCTAATGCCTGTAATTAAGGGAAAAAAAACAAAAAACATAATTTTACTTTTACAGAAGTTCAGCACACTATCCCCTCTCCACTAAATGTTTTTAAGTTTACAAGTGAAGAGTGACGTGCGCAAAGTTCCATCAGTACGTGTAAAAAAACCTTGGCACAGCCACTGGGTGGCAGCAAGTGAAGCAATCATCTATTCTTCCACTTCAGTTTTTACTCACCTGTGCTCTCCTAGACACAACTTTGTCATTCCAATTGAATATTTTAACCTTTTTCTTCTAATGCGACCCAAATTCCATTAATGTACTATTTTCATTTCTCTTCCATTATGATTTCTCTTATTCCTGTTATCACTCATAAAACTTGCTCTCTATTTTTATTTTATCTTGGCTGTACCAACCACAATACAAAATATTTTTTTAGTCTAGTTAGTCTTTCTGGTCTTCCGTGCTTCTGTTTAAAGAGTAAAACAAGAAAGATCATGGATATTAACAGTTGGTTATGTACATGGTTGAAGGATGCTCTCATGTACTAAAGGTAGGAATTAGTAAAAAAACAAAAACAAACAAAAAAAAACATAAAATAGTCCCATTAACAAAGTCACACAGAATCCAACAGTCATATTTACCTAGTGACCTACCACCTCTCAACTAATCTACCTAGCCACCTACAACTCATCAGTAGATTCCCATGGGGTCACTCACCAAGTCATATTGATACCCACCTAGTTATCCATCTAGTCTCGAAGTCTATTCCACACACCATCACATACATAATGTATCACAAGGAGGAATCTAGGGGCATAGAGAGAGAGGGACAAGGATGTGACTACTTTATCACAATAAGAAATATATGTGGTCAACAAACATAGGCCAATCTTTCATGCAAAGGGTAGAGGCCAATTTAGCCACAACCAGGCATCAGGCACATCCTGCGCTCAGGTACCACCAGCCTGGCAAATAACCCTGGACAGCAGATTTGGAATGGTACTCCAACTCAGTCAGAACTTGGCTAGTTTAGCCTGGATTTTGCAATTTAATTGTCAACTCGCTGTTCCGCAAATAAACCATCACTTGTGGCCAAGCCCACCACAATATTCATCCTAGAATACAAGAATTATCAGCAGTCTTCATTTTTCACATCATCACTTCTGGATGTGTATCCTGAGCTACAGAATGTGTTTAATGTCTATACCATGCAAAACCTTTAAAAAAAAAAAAAAAAAAAAAGCATTGCACACAGACCATAAATGGAGACAAAGAATGTGAAATAGCCACACATTATGATTATCAAGAATTCCAGGAAAATGTAAAGCAGTCCATGTACTATTCACCAAAGTTACAATGCTGCTGTGAGCCATTATAAACCAACAATACTGGAACATATAAATAAATAATTAAGTGTTAAGCGTACAGTTACTTCCATTGGTCACACCCCACTAACTGCAGGATTTAGTTTCTGCAAACAGACCCCACTACAGCATTTACTGTGTAAAATAGTATGTAATAAAACTCCAACAACCACAACTATCTATGCTGGTTGCATTAGTTGCACTGCAGCTCCTAACATTCCCAAATAGTCCTTATTATCCCAAGGCTGTGCAAGTCTTACTTATGCCATTCCCCCACTTCCCAGGTGGATATTGATCCCGATACTTTTACACAATAAAATAAATAGGTGGGCAATGTAAATATTACTGGGATTTTGTGCAGTGAAAGTGCAAAAAGACCACAATAAATGCTTGTGGATATTTAGTGAAATACAAAAAAAAATAAAAAAAAAAAAATTACACGTCATACCATGATGATAGGACAACATTATTTCCTAAAGTAATATCACTTATACAGCATGCAAAAATGAAGGGCTATAAAGCCCCCTGGTAACAGGAGGAGTTAAACTCGTTTACGACCTGTCCTTTCCTGTCCAGGTGCACTGTGCCTTTATATTCAGCGTGAATTACTATGGTGATCATGTGAGGTGCATTTCGAACGCTTTTAAAGAAAAAAGAAAAAGTAATTAGAGAAGGTGGAATCTCTGAAACAGTTAAATTCAGGTTAAACAGGGTGTATCCATAGATTATATTGAATATCAAAAGGTGGCCAAAGGGAGGGTCAACTCCCACAATGCAGTTTTACACCAGTTTGGGGACAGAATATACATTTTCATTCCCACTGATCTAGATTATTTCCTGAGTTTTTAAATGAATGGAGGGAGTGTTAATCTCACCTGACACACACACAGGATCAATAGCTCATCATCCTTCCATTACTGTCACTCAAAGAGTTAAATTCTAAATTTCTGTAAATCAGGCGAACAAAACCTCAAAGGCAGCAACAACAATATACAAAGGTTCTACTTCTGTAAAAATGGAGCAAACATAAAGGAAACATCACGTGGTTTTTGCATAGTTAAGTAAAATGAGTGTACTAGTAGATAAATGATTCCTGTATGGGGGGATTGAATACAGTGGACCTGCTTTTCGCCATAGTTTACCTGTTCTATCTTGTTTTTCTTTGCTAACACATACTCTTATCAACCAGGTGCAGACTCCTGATCATTCACTGTTAGATGACTGCTGCATTAACCGGCTGACCCTCCTCCACCACCTCCTCCTTTTATTGACTGATCACTCAGGGCTGGGCGTAGCATTACTGATCAGAAAGTTTCACCCCGGAAGCAACAGGTATATTTCACTCAGACAGAGGGAGAAGGCATGGTGGAGAACAGCACAGGAGCTGCAGCCTTTACTGTTTGCTAATTCCCTCCAGATTGGATACACACAAGGTAACCCCCTTCCTTGGAGGTGTCAGTGGAGGATGGCTGTGTCACAGGAGGCTGTGTTGAATTTCTTACTGGAGCAGGGAGGGAGTGTGACAAATTCTGACCTGCTCAGGAGGTTTAAATCTGTGGTGGATGTGTCTGATCCTCAGCAAAAAGCCAGCAACAGAGAAGCCTTTAAGAGGTTTGTCAATAATATAGCAGTGGTGAAGGATGTTGAAGGAGTAAAGGTGGTTGTGCTAAGGAA